GCGCAGGCGTTCCCCATCTGCACCACTGTCTCCCAGCCAGCGACCTTGGTTGTACATGAACAGAGTGACCATCGGGGGTGCGAGTTAGAGATTTATTATGGTGCCATGCTCGCAACCTTTGCGGACAATGCTGTTGCCCCCAATACACGCAAGCCATGGGTCCGCTGTCCATGATATGGAGATGATTTTACAGTGCTGCAGGCCTGTGTGTGCACCCAACCGGAGAAGCAGCCACCTGTGCAGCATTTGCATGACTAATGGGCACTCTGAGTGCCGTGTGGCTGATCAACTTCCGCTCTTCCACGTAGGTAACAGCACTCGAATGAGTCCGGTGATGCAGGATGCAAGCACAACTATTCGGCTCAATGTCAGTCTGGCACAGAATTCTGCGGAGTGGGCTGGAGTTTCGGTCGTCTTCTTGTAAATGCGATACGCAGCACTTCCGTGTTCACACCAGCTGCACTGTTCTTAGCATTAGCATAGTGAGGTCATTTGGTTCTGCGGATGGGATGGTAGGGGGAGGTTCATTCCTGTTTGACAGTTTCTGCCAGGCACCGCGGTAGGGTGTGCTCGATGGGTAATAATATTACCTGTTACTAGTACTGAGTGGCAGAATCCCACTTGGTCTGGCCTGTCAATGAGGAACAATACGCGGAGATGCATTCACAAACTCTACAGCTCCTGGAGCACAATCTGGCTGACCCGCCCCTCTCCCCTTCACCTGGCCTGGCTGCATCTCTTGCTTGTGCAGAAGATCAGATGGATTCTGCCACTGATGGTGAGGGAGACCTCTCGGAGGACAATGACTGCACCATGCCACCGTGTTTCCATACAGGCACAGTCCGGTTAGCATGTGCACGGCATAATCTCTGCTCCGATAACTCAAAGGGTTGGTCACAGTCAGCCTCTGCCATGAGAAGTGTGACCCGTTGGCTTGCACTCATCCCCCCTGGCCCCTTGTTACTTGCCCGATAGGATATTGTGTGGGCCTTGACATGCCATGCTTGAATAACTGCTAACTTGAGCCTGCTTTCCGGCTGGCATGTCAGCAACATGCCATATTTCGTCAATGTTTCCAGGAGACCGTCATGGAGGGAATGTGTCCCTACTGCCTGGACTACCCCGATGCCATCAGGCACGACATCCTCTCCATTCATGTCCCACATGTAACGTGAGGCCTCCTGGCTGCACCTGTGGTGGGACTGTGTCCATCCTCGCTACACAAGGAAGAGATGCAGGAGCCCCATCCTTGCCGGATGAGGAACAGATGCAGCAGCCTGAGGTAGAGAATAGACTCTCACATCAGCCGCCTGCATTACGCCATACTGAAAGGTTATCGAGGCAAGGGTGAGGAGTTGCATACCAGATCTTGCAACAGCTAAACACCCTTACTTCAGATCAGGCCCCGTCATCACCTGTCCATAGAGAGGGAATGTCGGCTGCCGAACCCCAAGAAACTTGCTTAACGCCGCACTGTGATGGCCCACCTGAAATTCGGCCAGCATTTCATTTGCATGCTTTCTGTTGTGAGGACTATACGAGCGTACAGCCCATGCAAGTCTTTGTTTTCACACGTATTGAGGGCAGTCCACATTGCGCTTGTGTACAACACCCTGACATGGTACATCCTATTTATAGATGGGGGCTGGAACGGCAACGCCTTTACAATGCGTCTATGTTTCTAGCATTTGGGAGCCATGTTTTTTTATTATTATTATTATTTTTATTTTATTTGGACCATTTCTCGATTTATGCGTGTCATCCTTGCGCAGGGGCCATGCTAATCGTTCCAATTTTACGCCTGTGACTCT